GAATTGCAATCGGTTAAGCCGTTTGGTCAGGCATCGCCGTCATACGGAAAACATTTCATTTTTATATATATAGATATGTACATACATTACATGCATATTTATATATGTACGTATGTATGTATTTATGTATGTACATTAGACCAAAAAAAGTTGCGGTTTTTCCGCCGGGATTACAAAATTTATTATATTTTAAAACGTCCATCAAAATATTTCGGAAAAATATTAAGATTTAAGCGAGCTGGATCGATTTGAAAATACAGGGGATTATTTCGAAATTAAAAACTAAATTAATGGAACGTAGAACAGAGAAACTACTCTGAACATGCCAAATTCGGACTTAGTTGCCCAAATAAGGCATTTCCGTCAGTTATAGTATAGCAATAAACGAGACTGATGCTTTGACCTGAGGTTTGTTTGCTTGAAGAAAGACAAAAACTCACAATAAGTCTGTGCATGTGCAGATAATGCGACGAATATAAAAATACAAAGTCTCACCGTCGCCCAAAATTTAAGTTTACTGAAGTTATATTGAAGTTTTCTGTTTTGCCGGTTTTAACTTTAAAGTTCTAAATATTTTATATTTTATCCAGTAAAAACGTGTAATTTCACCTAGAGATCTATAATTGGTAAAAACTTTCTTTCTTTTGTACAAACTATCGTGATAGGAAGCAGACCTAATTCGAATATCGGTTTTGCTGATGTTAGAAAAATCTAAATCTGATAGAATTTCGCGACATCAAATGAAACAGGTATCGGTTTTCATTTCCGATAAAAATCAATTCCGAGTCGGATTCTGCGACATAGCTGATAAATTCATGATAACACACAAACATTAAGCATAAAGAAATTAATTATAAGGGGTTATCCCTTAAACACGTAAATGCATCGCGAACCTCGTAAAGCTCGTGAATTTACGAAATGGTGCTCTATTTACGAGCCCTTTGTAAAACTACGAAGCAAATTTTATGCGAAAATGACCTCGTAAATTTGATCAAATAATGAAAATAAATGAAAAAATAATAAGCGATTAAAATGAATGAATTTCATCCGCTAACGATATTGATTAAGGTTTTCTGCAGCTTTAAATTACTTATGGTTATTGGCAAATTGGAAAAACGGCTTCGATGCAGCTATATATTCCGCTTCATCGCCGCATTCTTACTTATAAAGTCTTCCGAAAATTTAATACATTTTTAATAGAATGTAATAGTAAGCAAGGATAAGGAGAACTCATCATTTGAAGGCCCGAATGATCAACCGATTAGCGCAGCAGTTCCTTGATTGGCAATTTGTTTAAAAATGTATGTACGTATAATTTCCTTATACCTTTTTTTACTTTTTAAACACGGCTTTTCTGCCCATTTTTACCGCATTGATTTTATTTTTTCTTTAATTAATAATGATTGAAATATATTTCAAAAAACGTAAACACGTCACTTACAATTGAAAAAATGTTTTATTTACAGCTACATGTCGTTGGTATTTGCATTTCATTTTTAAGTTTGAGTGATTTACAAACATTTGCCTTCAACACTTATTAAAGGTTTATTTGAAAAAAACTTTAAATAGACCTAATAATTAAAGCGCTTATTATAGCAAACTTGCTTTAGGTAATTTTTTAAAGCATTTACTGAAATGCTTGTTGGGATATTAACTTTTTATATGTATTTTATACGCACATGTTGCAATAAAAATAGGAATTTGAAAAAATCATTTATTAATTTTTGGCATTCGGTATTCCACAATACCTTTGTAAAGAAAAAATGCGCTTATTTCTAATTAAAAAACAAATCAGCGAGAAAAACTACCAAGTTTGATTGGAAACAGGGAAGCCAACTCGTGGGAATATCCCCGATTTGCGTGGGGAATTGGGGAAAGGATCGTTTTTTGTGCGGAATTTTAGTTTACGTGGGAAATGGGGGTTTGAACTGTTTTTTGTGAGGAAGGTGTTAACTAATTTTCAGCCACTTGAAACTTTCTTTTTATTATACTAGATTTGAATGCGGTAAAAAACTTTCAAAAATCTTTCTAGAAAATCTAATTGAGAAGCTCGAACTTTTTACGAAAGTTTGTTGAATTATTTTTTAAATATTGCGTAAAGGTTGAAACTTGGATTTATATGGGTTTTGTGAAAGAATGAACTATATTAAAAATAAAGCTCAAATTAAATAACAAACAAAATTAATAATTGTGAAAACTGGTCAAAATTTGGGTCGACTAAATTTTTTCGACCACTGTATGTATGTAAGTATTATATGTATTTTTTTATTCTTTATTTTTAAGCTAACTTTTTAAGCGGCCGACATGACATTTTGACATTTCTACAAATGTTAATATTAAGCATAGCCTAGGGGGTGAGAGTATTAAAATTCCGACAAAGCGAATGGGTCTGGTGGTACCACCCTAATGTACATTTCTTTATAATATTTTTAAATATTTTTTCGTCATATTTTACAGTAAGTTTTATATACAAAATAAGTTGCTTCGCGAAACTTTTAGCAACAATTTACGGATCGCCATCGCAACTTGCCGACGTGTGTTATGAATGTCGACACGTTGCAATGATGAAAATTGTTGCTAATAGGTTACAGAATGTTATGCATAAATGATTTGCCAAATTGTTTTAAATTCGCTAACTCTTTCTTTCTTTTCGCATATGACGTTTAACTCTTATCTGTTGTAAGTAATCTTTCATTTTGTCATAATCTTCAGCTGGATCAGAATGCATTTGCGTATATCTTAATAAAAATTATTGCGAGAACGTCTAATAATATCATCGTCCTTAACTATAATAGAGACAATTCTATGATATCACGAAGCTCCGAAAATAAAGACTTACTTGGGCTTCCATTTGCAAAGCACATCAAAATTATTTTGGATGATTGCCTGTGTAATAAACAAATTTAATAATAAATAATTTTTTTGGATGAGCAACATATTTAGCGGTCTTTAATTTCACAGAAGACATTGGTAGCTTGTTTTGCAAATATTAAGATTTATGAAATTCAATTTTCTTTGTTGCTCAAATCGAAGAAAAATTTTCTTTCAATTTTGTAATTTATTTTTTTTTTTTACAAAATAATTATTTCTGAGGACTAGGTATGGTAGCAGGAAATGTCACAATCTGCTTAACCGTCAAGTAATTAATATGGCTCCCGAAATGTGACAATGAAACTACCTTCTTTTTTGTATCATGATATGTAGTACTATCTAAAATTAAATCAATTTTCAAATAAACTAATAGCTCATTTATTGAAATAGCATAAAAATTGTCGAAGTTAGGCAACTTTTCTTAAATACGGCCTAAAATTTATATTGCTTATGTACCGGACTTTCAGAGTTTTTGAGCAGTGTGGCTAAGAAATTGATCAATATTTATTTAAAATTGATATATACAATCGCTCTTTAGCAAAAACGTGGGTTTTACAGAAATTTTTGGAAAATGGGGGTGGCACCACCCACTTGTATGATATATGCATATCTCAAAAACTACTTGACCGATCTCGACCAAATTTGGTATACATATTGCGCTTAGCCTCCTTTAACACCGTCTTGAATATTATGAAATCGGACAAAAAGCCAGCTAGGTAACAATAATTAAAAAAAACTCAAAGCTAGCTATATTTTAAGGCGAGTAGGTTTTGTCCGATTTCAAAAATAGCCTGACCAATATCTTCGTTATTACTTAACTTTTTGCTATAATTGGTACAGTATATTTTGCTTTGCTGCCTCTATGCTTAAGTGCACATTTAAGATACCTACCCCAAAATGCGCATCAAAAGCATTATTTTTAACATTTATAAGGAAACTGCTCCGATAGATGCATTCAACATACCTGCACATTGGCGATACCTGCCTTAAAAATTGTGCGACTAGTATCAATTATCAATGAAAGTATTACGTTTAGCTGCACTGGCCCTAAAATTACCTAATTTTACAACCTTTTATTTATTTTGCTCATCTCGCAGAACAACGAAAATGGCTATCAATTTATGTAGTTGTATAGATAATTTGATAACATTCTTTATTCTACATGGTAAGTGCTCCGCCAATATTTGGTTTCATAGGGATTCGGATACCTTCCTCATTGAAGTAGTAAAGAAAATTCGCTTAAGTGCCTTTTTCGGTTACGTGCACAAGTTTTTCTTGCAAAGAAGGATGTGCAGCTAAGCAAAATATACTGTATATCAAAAGATAGATAATTAAAATATCTTTCAGAATTATAATTTAAAATGCATATATAATAATAATAGATTGGCGCTTACACATATGTTAGTGTTTGGCCGAGCTTCTCCTCCGATTTATGGCGTGCGCCTTGATGTTGTCACACAAAGCGGGGGTCCTACAGTTTTACGCAGACTCCGAACGGCGATTGTATTTTTATGAGAAGCTGTTTTTCATGGCAGAAATACACTCGGAGGTTTGCCATTGCCTGCCGAGGGACGACCGCTGTTAAGAAAAAACCTTTTTTCTATATTTTTGCGATGTTGCTTTGACCAGGGTTTGAACCCAGGCATTGTGGAGTGGAAGCGCGCACTGCTTACCACTACACCACAGGGGCCGACAATGCATATAATGCTTTTGTTTTAAGATCACACTCAACTGTGTGCGTACGCAAAGCATTCGCATGTGAACGAAAAGTTTTGACAGATGTGTGTGAGCGTCCATAAGTATACAAATGGAATTCTTTGCCTTTGAGAACGTTCACGCTCATGCTCTCATTGAACTGTATAGCAAGCTTTAACGAGTACTCGTTTGCAAACAGCCTCGCCTGTTGCTCGGTGAGTTGCGCAAGCTCAGAGCAAACTATCGAGCGAGCGAGGGGCTAAAATGAGGCAAATCCGAACCCTGGTACTAAGACAACAAAATATCACTATTACAGAATAATTAAATACTTTTTATTCCCCTTATTCTATTCCCTTACTAAGTAAACGTATGAATAAATATATGTATATTTATTTAACTATTAATTAATTATTTCTAAAGAAGGATCTACACACCTTGAACTTTATGATCGCTGCATGCAAAAGTGATATTATTGTTATCTCGTAGATTTCACTGATATTGCGAGTTTTGAAAAATGTTAAAACTTTGATTGCCTCAGTCGTTTCATCAAATAGACGTTTCTGTTCGGAAATCGTGTTAACATATTAGTTTTAAATATAATTAACTCATATATTTTCAGTTAAATATACCTGCTTGCTAGCCGGTACTGGTTGCGCCTGTTGCCAGACTGTTTGCCAGATATTACCAGGAGCCTGCATGCGAGCGCTCAGCCTTCCCACTCCAAGTTGATCATCTTAAGAAACATATTTTTTAATGAGCAAATCATGGGGTATATTTTGTTATAATAAAATTTACTTTTTACGCGCATTTTTACCTTCCTCCCAATCCTTGGGACTGTACCAACGTATAAAGTCCCCCATCTTTCCTTTTGGATTTGCTGCTTTAAAGGCTTCCATATCGGAAAGCAGGGAAGAGCACATTTGCATACTGAAACCTGATTGATTAAAATAAATAAAATAAAGATGTTCGGACGAATTTATGTTTATAATGAGAAACTTATGGGTCATTCCATACAATATTTACATCTCAATATTTTTTTTTGGGGTGAAATATATTTTTTTACATTCTTTACCGAAAAAAAGAAGACACCTATTCTTTTATTTGGTCATGATATTCGAAAATCTCGAAAAAAATTCCCGAAATTTTGAACTCACGGGGAAGTATCTTTTTTCAATTGTTTGCAGTTAATAAACTATTTGTCGAAGAAAATCAGTTAAGTTATCAAAATATACGTAATTACCTTGGCTTTCCAAGAGAATGTGAGATAAATTAAAAAAAAAAAAAAAAAATTGCATTAAAAAATCGCATTTTTTATTTTTTATTTCTTTTATTAACTTGATCATGTTTGATTTTTATTTTTTTCAGCCTGAATAGTTGTCAAACTTTATGGAGTACGCTGTAAAAATTTGAGAATGGAAACACGAAAACTGTAGAAGTTACGAGTTTTTTCATACCTGCGTACATAAACATTAGTATAAACTATGATACAAATATTTAAAGGTAAAACCGCTCGCTCAATTCGTCCGTAATTGGTGTTTTTTTTTGACGTTTGCTAGCATTTTGAGTTTACTCTTTCGAAATAATTCAAATGTCAAATAAATTCAAAATAAACAAATGAAAATTTATAATTTGAAAATTTATTTATTCAAATGTGGGAAGAACTTAAAGTTTTATAGAAGGAAAATGAGATGCTGCTTTAGCGGCTGCGCTAATACCGTTTTTACCTGCAATCAAAGCAGTATAAAGTTCTTTCAAGTTCCCGCAATTACCGTGTGTACGCAAAACATGATCGAGGTTGGTGGTGTTAAGGTAGCGGATTTTCCCAAGTGCCTATGTGCTCTAGGATCATTTTTTGCCACACCACTTGACCCAAGATAGTTCTTAGCAAAAGTGCAGGTTAAATTTGTTTAAATCTAAGCCCAAAATCTTCGCCTTAGCATGTGGGCAGAAATTCATTACACAATTGCTAACATTTATTTATTTACATATGTACATACATACATACATGTGTACATATCTATGAATGTACATTCAAATATTAATGATTCTTCAGAAATATATTTCTTTGGTTTGAGTGAAAATAAAAACAAACAGATGAAATGACGTCGAGAGAAATTTTCAAAAATGCTAGTAAACGTCAAAATTCTCAAAGCTGGCTCTCAGCGATTGTACCTTATAAATATTTTTATCATGGTATAAACTTTATGTACGCAGGTATGAAAAAAATCGTTACTTCTACAGTTTTGTGTTTCCATTCTCAAATTTTTACAGCTTACTCCATAAAGTTTGACAACTATTCAGGTTGAAAAAAATAAAAGTCAAACATGAAGTTAATAAAAAATTTAAAAAATGCGACGTTTTAATGATTTTTAATGATTTTCTCCGACAAATAGTTTATTAACTGCAAACAATTAAAAAAAGATATTTCTCCGTGAGTTCAAAACTTCGGGATTTTGTTCGAGATTTTCGATAATCATGACGAAATAAAAAAATAGGTGTCTTCCTTATTTCGACAAAGAATGTAAAAAAATATATTTCACCCCAAAAAAATATTGAGGTGTAAATACTGTATGGAATGACCCATATATGTACATATTTTTTAATATGACCTGAATTAGCTCCAAGCTTCAGCATTGATTCTGCATCTGCTTCCGATTCGTCTTCTGTTTTTGGCACTGGATCTTGTGTTATAGGGATATACAGCGGCTCATCACAATCTAATAGCCTTATGTCACCAAGACATTTGTCACGACCTTCTGGAGGATATTCCGTGCAGTCATAAAACTCATCTTCACCTTCATCCCCAGTTTCACTAGAAGCTTCCTCAAAACTGCTGTCATCTCTTTTATGCTCGTTGAAGTTCATGTTGGAATCAGGTTCACTTTTAGATTCCTCCATGTTGCCATATTTTCGAAACTTTGAACGCTCAATACAGTAGCTCAGCATTTGCAACTTTTGATTTAGCAAACAAGTGCGGGTCTCAGGAAAACCGACGGCAACTCTAATTGAACAAGATGGAATTCATATATTTGTGTAAGGACTTTTCTACTCGAAATATGGAAATGGTAAATTTTTGAAAAATGATTTATGTACACCGAAAAAATTTAAAAGCGTACTTATTTAGAATCAAAATTGGTTCAGGTAAAAGAAGAAAGGTCATATTCTTGAAAATTCGGTAAAAAAATTGTTCCTTTTAAATGACGAGTGGTTTTTTTGAAATCCAATATGGCGGACAAAGTTAAAAGAAATTATTGGATTCTGTAGAAAATTTTTCTTTTGATGTACTGAATCCACCATTTTGAATTTAAAAAATCCGTGCTCATATTCGTACACTGAGAAAAGAGTTTTTTTCTGAGTGTAATGACCGACCCCAAAAACTCCCGCGTAAGAAATTTCAAACGAATCCAATAATTAAAAAAAAATCAAAATCATATTCATAGTCAGCGACCACAAAAACTCCCAAGTAACAAATTTCAAGCGAATCCATAACCTCATAATTGTCTTCAACTAGTTGTTTTGTGTGACATTCATTTAAAGGAACAGGATAATCGATTTTCAAAACTGCTACATCCTCTGCATTTTACACCAAAAAATTTATATAAACAAATAAAAACTCAAAAATCGGGCTCTACCAAATCTAAATCTTATCGGCTGTCATTTAAAAATAGAAAATTAATCAGATCGGTACATATTTGTAGCTGTAGGCCCTATTGAAGCTAAATTTCTGGATTTCTACCACTGTGCGTTGCTATTTCTGCCGATAGCGAGAGCTTTGACATAACATTGAGGTTAACTTGTTTAAAAGCTTCGGCATAGAGAAAAATCTATATTTTTCTTTAACTTTATTTTATTTTGCTTATTGTAATTTTACTTAGATTTATTCAATTCAAAAAATCCACATCATGTCCAAGCGGATTTAAAGCGTAAGTCTCACAACCAGAAATGGTCTATTCCCCCGACGCCACAGCCGACCTATGCAGATCTACTTAGCTCCGCCTAAATCCGCTACTTTATCGATCGTTATAGTCAAGCTCAACTAACAGTAGGCCCAGGGAAGTTGCTGTTTTGACGGGGTTGGACCACAGCGATAGGGTATTAACTGAGCGGGTTTAAGGGGCAAAGGAAGAGGTACTTGGTGTATGTCGAGGATAGAACACCAATTGCGCCATCCACGGGGCGAGCGTATGAAAGATCGAATAGATGGTTTCTGACGTGTGTGGGCTCTGCTTCAGATGCTCTCTTCGGCAGCGATGCCAACTTGTGCAGAATTCGTCGATTTACGGGGAATTTGTCTCGTTGCGGAGAATCGCTGCATATTGCGGGGAGTTTTGACTACTTTTTTTAAATCATTAACGGCCATATTATTGACTTGTCGTTATTGCTTCTTATTCAACGGTTTCGTTATTCTGAGCAATTCTGAACGACGGTGGAATAACTTTTTTGTCAATTATTCACTATGGAATAGCGACGATAAACTTTTCGGCAGAGGAACAAATATTTATTCCAATAGTTTTTTCGAAGAGTCAAAATATTATACAATTTTTTAATGATGACAGGTAATAAGATCAACGGAAATAAGGTCAATTGACTTTATTTCCCACCCTGGTGCGAAATAAAGTCAATTGACATTATTACCTTTTTAAAAACGAAGTAAAATCCATTGACATTATTTCTCTTTCAAAGATTAAATTCGCTTAGCTTCGCGGCGGCCCGCATTAGCGCGCCACGCGTACCCCGCGCGTACCCCGCGCGTACCGGCGCGCACACCTCGTCACGCTACGCTATTTGTCCCTATATTACTTCAAATGGCACTTAATTTTTCAATTTGGCACAATGTGCCAAAATGGCCTTTTTGTAAAAAAAAAATAGATTTCAATACATTTTTGTGAAATCCTTTGCGTGCACTTCTTTTTCTCAACTAAACTTTTCTAATTTATAAAGGTTATTCAACTGGTTTATTTTATTTTATCATTGAACTTTTGTTTGGAAAATGTAGCTTTATTTTATTGCTAAATGTGAATGATTAAAAGGAATGACACCTTTTTTGGCACTTTTATTTTTCTAATTGGCACATTTTGGCACTTTTTTATCCTCAATATGGCACCTCATAACTAAGGATAGTTGGCAGCCCTGATTGGAAGATTTCTGCTGTGTTTTGGGGCAACAACTTGTCTGCAGTAAGGAAGCATATAATTTCTGTTTCAAAAGTGTGTGAAAACCAATCAATTAACTTATATGATCTCGGTTCCGATATTAAATAATCAATAATTGTTTATACCCGCATTTTGGCACATTGGCTCGTTGAATGTGCCATCTAATAAATAGTGTCGTCGTTCTCCTTAGCTGCTTTTAAATGATGTCGTCACAAATTTCTGGCGGAGACATGAATACAGTGTAAGAAAATTCTTTTTCTATAATTGTTTCCTTATAGAAAGGTTGGTTTCTTTTCCACCTTAGACATTCCGAATTCGTTCAAAATATGCTAATTTAAAACACAGAATTCTTTCAGTGTTCCTCCGGGGTTTTTGGACATGGACTGTTTCTTCAATTTAATAGTGTTCGCTTTATTTTTGTGGAAACGAAACATGTTTTGCAAGTTATGGATCATTTCTACACTCTTTCTTCAAATATTTCTCGTATTCCAGCTGTGCGCAGGCGTTTAGTTTTTCGCATCGTGTTTTTACATATTCGTAATTTAAATTTTTTTAATAAAATCAATTGGTGGTAGTTCATGATTGTGTGTGGATTAATATCACAACACTGAGGATTTGGCAATAACCTTTTTCATCTATTAAAAAACAACACTTACGGGGCAAAGCATTTAACGCTATTTCCATTTGAATGAGGAAATAGCATCAATGACTTTATTTAAAATTTTTGTTGACTTTATTTCGCTTTTGAAAAGGTAATAATGTCAATTGACTTTACTTCGCACCAGGGTGGGAAATAAAGTCAATTGACCTTATTTCCATTGACCTTATTACCTTCCACCTTTTTATTATTGTTATTTTTTTAATTTTTAACTTTGCCTGCTTCAAACCAAATACATTAATCCAAAAGGTAAATATACCACAGTGTAGATGAATTAATTCTCTACATAATTGGATTGGAAAGTATTGCGCCGCGGCTTATCACTTTCACATAATCGATTGGTAAATTCAATGATTTTTTTTAATGAAATACATACTTATAAGCAGAAAATAATGTTACTCATACGTAATGTGACCAACTATTTCATAGCTCAAAAAAGTACAGAAACTTAAAACCAAAAATAGTATGAGCGTAATGAGAAAATGGCAAAAGCAGAATATACCAAAACGGTAACAGTATACCAATTCAACATATAAATTTTGTTAATTAAGAGTCTATACTATTTATTATTCTAAGACAAGGCGCTTATACCCAGCGTTCTACTAATCGTACAGAGACAAGTCATGTATCAAATTAAAGTGCTCGATTTGAAACTTTGCAAGAACATTTCAGATTTAAAAATCATTAGACCACTTTTGAAATATTTGCATGAAATTTTTAAAGTTTTTCATTGAACAAAGCATTGCTGCGTCCATTTCAATAGGCAGCAACTGCGGAGCGCTCTGAGTATGGAGTAAAAAAGGACGCCCACAGCAACACCTTGAAAGAGTGTTTTCATAGCACTCCGATTACGGAGTGAAAAGGAACTCCCACGTTAACACCACGAATGAGGGTTTTCGGAGCGCTCCTAATATGGAATGAGAAGGGGATCAAAGTGTTCTTTGTTATCTTGTTTTTTTTTTATCTAGTCTGGGAATTGAAAAAGAAATTTTAAATCCAGAAGAAACTGATCGTTTTTTCCGAATATTCCTGAAAAGGAACACCACAAAAAAAGCTATTGACGTTATGGCACTTTCAAATGCATTGAGGCAAACAATAATGCATAAAAAATTACTTTTGTCTAACTTTAGAACTTTTCAGATGTATTTAATAGAAAATATGCCGGATCTGGCAAAGAAATTCCATAGAGCGGGCGCAAAGTGGTTGCAAACCTAAAAGGAACGTATTTTAAACAATATAAAAAATATTTTTAGATTTACTTCAGGATTTTTCCGTTTCTATCTAGTTTTTACTGAATAATATGCAAATCTGTAACTTTGCATTTTTTCAATAAAAAGAAATGATGAAAACACTTTAATACTTATTTATTATAAAAAAAGAACGTTTTGAAAAACCATAAAACCACCTTTTCGGTCTATTATCGGACTCCGCGGTATGCTGGGAACAAAATATTTTGAAGAACTTCCTTTTTTTATTTTCATTTTTACATATATGGCTTTAAAATCCTAGAACAAATAAAAAAAGATTGCCGACGAATTGTTTTAAATAAATGTGAGATTATTTCAAATTTCTTTTGCGAGTTAGAGAAAGTCGAGAACTTTCCCCAGGCTCAAAAATTAAGATAAGTACACAAGAATCTATTTTGCGAGATATAAATTTAGTCGACTGTGTCGTTCAACCTCAGCCTCGTGTAAGTAACCAAAACCGCTGGAAGGACTGACCAATTTCGTGTCCGAAAAATATGCACTGTACCATAGCTAATGAGGAAATGGTTAATATGTTGCCCGGATAAGAAAATGTTTACTATGGCATCGGTACTGTCATTTCTGAATATCTACAGGAGCAAGTAAGCTTCGACACAGAATTTTTAAACTCTCTAACACCTTTTAATTTTTCTTGATTGAGTAGCTCCATTTATAGTCTAAGAGCTAGCAACATTTTCGGGAGAGCATTTCAGGACAGCTGGTTTTTTTGATATGACATCTCTTTCACTCTCTTAGTTAGCGTGGGGGCCATCTGGCAAGCGGTAATGGTTGCGTTGACTAGTGCGATCGTATCTTTACAGTTAAAAATGCTAATTTTTTAAATAATTTTATAAAGGCTAATTTTCTTTTCATTGGCTTTAACTAGCTTTTAGGTTTATTATTGTCCGTTGTTGCTAACATTGTGGCAGACGTCGTTTTTTATAAA